ATCTGTTTCCTGTAGGGGCGATTATAGGCTTTGATTTTAAAAATTCTCCTAACATTTAGGTGGTGGATACATTACGTGGAGTTGACTCTCACGATCGACTTACCTTTATCCTTGGGTTCAGCATGGTTATCGACGGTTTGTTTTACTTCTGTTTATATATTCATAATTGCTCATGAATGCTGAATCATTTACAAGAAGTTGAGCCCAGCTGGGGCCTCGAACTTAGACCTCACGCTTGCCGGCGGAACTAGCCATGGCACAGCACAGGCTACCTTTTTCAGGTTAACGGGTCATGGAGATGTACTGGTTAGTATTCCGGTGTGATAAGGGTGCGGTGCAGGGGCAAGAGTCCGTTCTTTTATCAATAACCCAGGATTCTTCAGATAATTTTTTTGATCAGAAACTACAGGGAAAAAGCAGTTATATTAAAAAAATGTCTGAAATGTTCATGGGGTTGTCAAACATGTTCATAGGGTAGGTTAGGGTATACTGGACACCCCTGAACGAGGTACAGTTCTGCTCGCTGCGAAAGATGGGGCGAGTCGGTGAGGCTGGATTTGCGCGCCGCCAACTCCTTGGGAAAGTGGGTAAGCGACAACACTTGTTGGAAAACGACTGATACAAACGTTAAGATGCAGTGATATCGCTCAAAAACTGAAGGAGAACGGGTTTGGCGTTGCGCCAAACCTGCTGACATCCCCCACCCGTGGCGAGCAAGGCTGTATAAGAAACTTTAGTAGGCGAGAGGGGTAAACTACGTCAGCATGATGTAGATAGTCTCTTGAATTTCTCCGATTTCTTGAAGTGTTGTGCTCTGTCCCAATTCCATGATTGAGACTTATTTGTACATATATTTATAGCCTGGGAATTAGCGACAAAGCTAATGAATGTCGAAGAGATCGCTGAGATTCGTGTAAAGTCTCGCCTGGCTTATGGCGAGTGTGGCTTAGATGACATAATTCCTCAGAACCAAGATCAGGAGTACCGGGTTCGTTTGATCATCAGTGTTAGAGGGAGGGGACATATTGTAGCAGTGGCTATATTAGTCAGGCTCAATCAACTTAATGACCTCTATATCCAGATTGAATTGCTCGAGATTGGTACTTCACCGGATTACGAGAACATGGGAGAAGAGGAGTTGTCCGATTTTGTTCTTATGTTAAAAGATAGGGGCAATTTCTATTTCAATCGAAGAGAATATGAAAAGGCTATTTTCGTCTACAAGAGGTAGGTTTTTTAATATACAAATTTCTGGTTTACTACTATTAATGATTGTTCTCTCAACATATATATAGTATTCGGTGGAGAGAAAGAGGTTTCTCGATGTGGGTTTTAGGCCGCATTCACACTGAACAACTTTGAAGAAATGACGAAACTGCGGATAGAACAATGTATATGTATCGATTTGAAAAAAAACTGCGGAATCGGGAGAAAGTGCAGAAATGCAGAAGCTGCCGAAATGACTGGCGACGACTTGATAGGGATTGATCGCTCACCTCACCAGTGGGAGTAATGCCAAAATGCAGAAATTTCGGCATTTCTGCAGATTCCGCATTTCTGCATTTCTCCCAATTCCGCGGTTTTTCAGATCGATAGATATACTTTCTCCTCCGGATTCTGCATTTATCCAATTCCGCAGGTTGTAAATTCCGCCGGTTCGGTTCTAATTCTTGCATGCACGCGGCCTTAGCATGTAGGTGTAAGCCTCCAGCAACGTTTGTTTTTCGGTTAATGATATGGCCGCAAGTTCTACTTCTACTTTTGAATCGGAATGCAGCTAGGATAGGGTTGGCTTGTTACAATTCCTTACGGGGGGATCAATGATGTGCGAGCAGTATTTTGTCTCTGCGGGTTTGAATCAGGCGACCCCCACTATGAGTGAGGAGTGATGTGAGTGCCCTTTTTTTCCAAATATGTATTCGATGACCGCTCTTACACAATTTCATGTTCTATGACAAAGTAAATGGATAATATTTCGCGTTGGAGATTCTTTTTAAGATGCAGTGCGCATTTTCGAAGTCGTAGTGGCGTATGGAATGCGGTGTTGCCAGCACAATGACCTGCGTTAGCTAGCCGATGTTCCTCCTAGACGACTTGGTAGTTATTAGTTGGCCCCCCGGAAAGTTTCTCAGGTTTGGGTGTTTCATTTTGAACGCCGACTTTTTTAATACTCATCGCGATTTAATCGAATCAGGCACCATTCCGGAATCAGCTTCACGTTTTCAATGATGACAGCCAGTCGAGAATCGATCAAAGTAAAAAAAAACTGGGTGGTCGAAATTCTATGAAATCCAGTAAGGCTTATTTTTGTGCCTGTTCCTGGAGGATGATATATTTCCAACAGGGAAGTTCTGAAAATGTTAGAAAAGGTGATAGTCGATTGGAAAGGTCTGAAGAATATGGCGGTTGAGGTAGAACTTCAACCCCAATTCGTTCAATTTATGGATAGTGATTTGTGAAACGTGTGGGCGGGCGTTGTCATGCAAAAGAATCGGACCTTTCTTTTGATAAGTGTTGGCTGCATCTGACAAAATTTTCGGTACAATTCGTCGATTTCTTCACAGTAGGGTTCTGCTGTGATGGTTTGGCCTGGTGATAAAAAGTTATAGTATATCAAGATGGTGACCACAAGCCGGTGCACCATAATTTTTTTTCGTGAGGGGTTCGGCTTGGAAAATTACCGGGTCGTTAGTCGAAATCAAACCCTGAACGTATCTGTTATCTACATGACCATTTTTCTCAAGGTGCATTGGCCAGAAAATCAGGGTCGTTTGCTGCGCAAAAAGCATGAGACAATGAAATCGAAACGCGAGATTCATTGACGACGGGGTCTGTTGAGCCATTGCCGCACAGTGCTTTCTCTAGCACTATTGGGCCCCCACACCTGGTTAATTTGTTGAGCTGTTTCGATTGCGGATTGCCCCAATTTATAGTCGAAAAAATCGTCCGAAGTGCTTTTTCACATGCTGAAAATTTGAAAAGGGTGTTTAGTCGAGTAATGTGGAACCGATCTTACCATCAGACCAGGCAAGAATTTTACAGGTGCGTACTAGGAGCAGGCAGAATGAGTTTTTAATCAGCAGTGAATGTACAAAAAATAGGTGCACAAAACGCTGAGAACTTTCCGGACAACCTAATATTAGGTTGGTCGAAAATTCCTGCGACACAAATTTTGACCAAATTTTTCGCTACTAAAAATTTTCTCTCACACAAGAATCTCAATCAAGGTAAACCGAGTTGATGACTAGGACTAGTGCCCTTCTTTTGCACAGCTTCTCATTTCCATTCTCATAGAACTACGGCAACTGTGATAAAAAGAAGAGGTGGACCTCATTCTCGAGTTGAGGTCGATTTTCGGGCTTTTTGCTCTTCAAAGGATGCAATAGGGACCAAAAGAGGTGATAATTAGAGGCCGCTAACTTTGCTGAATAACCTGGGTACGGTCGCATTCTCTGATCAAAATTCATGATTTTTTGACGTGGCCTGATTCCCACATGCGGTCATTCCGGTATGACTTGTCAGAGAGGTCAACTACATGAGGATCTCAATAGAAATTTTCCGATAACGAGATGGTGCGAGAAGCACGGAAGTTGTCAGGCAGGTGGAGCCTAGAGAGGTTGCCAACTTACTGGTGGTTTCCTTCGGCTGCGCAATGATAGCATGAGTAAAGTCTCTTCTGGCTGGTTGGCGACCTACACATTGCTACTACGAGTTTAATAGACAGCCTGGAAGTCCGTGATGCAAGAGCTACCCTTTCATGGCAAGCGATATCTCCTTCCTCAAGACAACGTAAGTGTTAGCTTCCTCGACTACGGCGGAGTTGCCCTACAGGAACTCATAATATGGGATAGGTCGAAAAGTACCTCGATCTCTGCGGACTTTTACTTAAATTCACAAAGTATGATACCCATGTGCAGAAACCAGGGGACACACTCCACTAATCAGGGATAAAAACATCCAAAATGATTTTTGGTCTTTTTCTAGAACAAGTTCAATCAAAGTGTCGCAGGACTTTTCGA